TGAAAATCTCCAATTTGCCTTTGAGGGAGATGAGACATTGTTTATATTAATTGGGGAGGTGTCATGATTTTCTAGTTTGCATAAAGGCATTCTGGTGGCTATTGAATCAGAGTACAATATTCCCTAAATCTTCTGGATTCCTATAGACCAATGCTTTCAGGAGCACGATTTTCATGATTCCACTTTGTGGTTAATGTTAGTGAAGCCCTCAGCCTGTCACCTAGAATATAGCCCCCAAAGCAGACAGAGCCAGCCCTTTGCAGTGCAGTAAAGGGGAGACTGAAGATCTTTCCTAGGATAACTTTCCTCAGATCAAATTTTGTGGTTACATTGTCACTTTGTGGCTCTATCTTTGCCAGAAGAGTCCAAGGAAGTGGATGGATTCCAGTACCCTACACCCATCATGCTTTACACCACCTCCAGTTAGAGAAGACTCTTGGCTCCACACCAGGTTTCCAGAGTTACCAGGCTGAGAGCCAGAATTGGCGGGAAGACCAGTCTAGGGAAGGGCAAATGATGCATGTCTCCAGAGCCCAAACTTTATTTTTGTGGGGATCATTGAGACATTTATTCTGCCTGAACATTTCCACCACTTTCCTCACAAGGGTCTCTGTCTTAAAGCACAGGACCAAGCAAAATTCTTAATGAAGCATACAGGAGGAAGGGGCGTGCAAGTGTCTTGGGAAGAAGGGCTGGGGCCAGGGAGAGAAGAGAAGGGTCAGGTTACAAGTTTTCACAAAATCTTTTGAAAACATGCTCTGGAGACGCCAAATTCTGGGACTCACGGAAGGCCCTTGAAGCTTTTTGGGCCCTCTGATTTGGGTACCAGTTGTGGAATGTGCTGGGCACTCGCTTTCAGTATTGTCATCTTCTTTCAAGCTTTACCACAAGGGTTTGTTAGGAAGGTCGTAGGTTGACAGGTCAGGCTGTAGTTCGCAGGGGACCTAGCCAGTACCCTCATTTAACATAGAGCTCTTTGGCCCAAGTGCCCGAAGCCGATGAGGTTCAAGTACTTGTCAGCGAAGGGAAGGCCCCGTGGCCACGGAGCACCCCTTGGCTCTGGAGCTAGGAGCAGGTGCGGTGCTGACCCTCAGTCCCCAGAAGGTGCGGGTGGGGTGAGATTGCTGCCCACTTAGATTCAGCAGCCTGACACAGCCAAACGTGCTGGGCGCAAGTTAATCCCCCCACCCTAATCCTCAATGGGGCGGGGGGGGGGGGTCCCTGACTTCCCCCGGGGCCAGATGACTCCCAGCGGCATTGTTCCTGGGTGCCAATGCCGGCTCTTTGAGTTTTCCAAATCACCCATTTGCCTCTCTCAAGTGAGCTGCTGGCACTCCTCCAGAAGCCTCCCCAGCTCCCAGCTCCAGCTCCTGCCAGAAAGAACGGGGGAGGGGAGCATGTGAATCAGGAGAATGAAAATTCTAAAAGAACGATTCCATTCTCCAGGAAAAGGTAGCGAGGGGAAGCCAAACAGTATGAACTTAGTCGGAAATGCAAACCGAGCTCCACTGTCCCGGGCGCATACAAACGACCGAAAGACAAGTCAGCCAACGCATTCGGAGGCTTCCCAGAAAGGGCCTCATGAATGAGAATGGGTTGCTAGGTTTCCTCCCTCCCGACAATGCTTCCCACAAGACTTTCACCGCCCAAAGAAAACAGGCAGGGCCTGGTGACTGCACAGCGGGGGGAACCGCGCCAAGCCCACGAGGCCGCCCGCGGCTGCTCCCGCCTTCAGGACCCTGGAGAGCGCCCGCCGCGCCCCTGGGACCCGAGCCCAGCAGTGCACAGCGCGCTCCCCTACCACACTGTCACTTTTATTCGCTGCTTTCCGCCTCCACCTTCATTCTTCTTGGCAACCACCCCTCCTGTTTTTCACAGATTCAATTGTGGGGTTTTGTTGTTTTGCTTGCGGGAGGTGTTTGGATTGGCTGAGTTTGGTTCCGGTTTGTAAACACACTGAATGTTAGCACACCAAGATGCACTGAAAACGTCTCAAAGATGGGAGCCCGAATGAGGCAAGTGGTCTTCAATAAGCTCAGTTCCTTTACTTTATAAATGAAGTAGACAAACTCAAAGAATAAAGAATCATTCCCAGGGTTAGCCGTCAAGGCTGAGTCTAGAACCCTAGGCTCCTGACTTCTAAACTAATGATTTCCAAGAATCACTTTTTTTTTTTTTCACTTTCCAAGACAGAAATAATGCTTTTTAACTTTATCGATTGGGTTTCCTAATCAACAAGTGGAAAATGTGTGGGGGGTGGGGGGTGGGGGGGAAATCTGTGTTCCTGAGAATAAAATTTACAGAGTTGGGAAGGGGGCCTATAGAGTGTGCATTTGCAGTAACACACCAACCTTGAATCCTGACTTACTCTATTATACTCAGCACATCCAAAGACAAATCAGCCAGTCCTTTCCCCACACAGCCTGAAGTAGGCCTGGGATTCTGCAGCTCCTATACAAGTATCCCCTAAACAACTATCCCAATGGAACCTGGTAGTTAAATCCAGCTCTGTGCCTCTGGCAGACAGAATTCCAGTGAAAAAGGACAGTGGGATCTTCTACACATCGCAGACCACATTAAATGTGAACTCCTTGGGAATGTTAACATGAAGATTCTGATACTGTGGTTGGGATGAGGCCAGAGATTGTGCATTTCTAAGGAGCTCATAGGCGTTGGCAACTCAGCTGGTCTACAGACCAGTGTCTTAGAGTTACAAAGTTGCAGTTAGGGGGGCTAATTTGGGCCTTTCCTTTTTCTTTCATAGACTTTTCTCTTGCATCCCCAAAGTACCCCACTGAGTGGCTGGACACAACAATAATAGTGTACTGGTGTTTTGTTTTGTTTTTCTCTCTCCCATTCCCGTCCCCTTCCCTTCCCACCACCGGTCCTGCACAGGTCTCAGACTCGCCCACTGCCCCGAAGCTGTTCAGCCTTCTTTCTAGCCTGTTCTTCAGCTTCACGCGGCTCTTCTCTCACCTTCTGCGGGGACCCCTCCTGAGGTTCCCCGATGGCTTCCGGACTTCTTCCCTCCTCTTCCTGCCCTGCCTGCGGCGGGACCCTCCCAGGATCATCAGGAGCTGCCCCTCCGGCTCTTGCTCCTGCTTGGGGCATTGCTAACATTGCCTGGCCGACCCTTGGGAGGTCCCCAGCTGAAACTGACCTGCCGCAGTCTGGCTGGGCACAAATAACTGAGCCGCCACAAAGCCTTGTAGGTTCAAACAGCAACTCTTTATTCCCCAATTCTCAGGGGCACTGCACACACACTACTCGGGAACCCACTCCTTCCACCAGGCTCCGGTCGCCCCCTCTCCCCGAACCCCTGCGAGAACTGCACAAGAACTCCAAAGTAGAGGGCCCCCAGACAGATTCCCGGAGCCGGGTCCATATACAACCCAATCAATCCAGCAACACAGCAGTTATATACAGCAAATCATCATCTCAATGGTTCGCTGGCATCACCTTTCAACCATTCCCTCTGGCAATATGCCAGGCGTCATTCTGACTCGGCTGTGGCTCTCAACACTGACCCACCACGTGTCAAAGCCCAAAGAGGACGCCCTAGCCAGAGTTCGCCCTTGCTGGTGAGTACTGTGGTCTACACCATGCCCCATCTCCAAGCCTCACACGAGACTCCAGCCTCTCCCACTTTTCCTAACCTGGACTGACCCACTCCACCCGGGACCAGCAGTGCAAGGATGCAAAGTCCCGGCAGTGCTGGACACTTTGGAGGAAAGGGCGCCCGCGGATCCCTGACTGTCCCCACCTACGAAGGAAAGCTAAGCTTCTTTTTCCAAGCCATTCATTTCATTTCCCCCTTAGAAGGGGGAGGGAGTCCTCGCCCTCTTTGGAAGCTGCTTTTCAAACTCTCAGCTTTAAGCTCTCCTCCCCCTCCTAGGAGCCTCCCGCAGACACGCCTCCGCTCGCTCCCCGCGCTCACTCTCCCACTCCCCTGCCCTCTCTGCAGACAAGGGAGGAAATGACGTGATGTTATTTTTGTGTCAGGTCAGTTTCCAGCTTCAATTTAGCTCTCCAAGCTCCGGTTCGCGGGAGCACTGACCGAAGGGCTCGGCGGCGGCCCATTCCCGGGGGTACACTGTGGGCTGCAAGGACACCCTGCGCTCGGTGCCCCCGACTGGGCACCAGAGTTCCTCGGCCGCGCTGGGTCTCCACTCCCCACGAACCCCGTAGTCCCTGGAGAAGGGAGTACGCAGGGGGGCTGCTGGCCGAGGGATTCAGCCAAATTCTGAGCCTGGGATTAGTTCTCCCTTTACTCCACCCTGCCCTAGGTCACCAAGTGTGGCCTCCAGGTTCTGGCTGGGTACGACAGGGTTAGAAACCCGCCTCCCCGTTTCTAGTGCGGGAGAACCGGACGCAGAGACTATTCAGGGATGGGGAGGGGGCCAGGCTCTGAAGCGCGGGGAACCGGGGAGAAGGTTGGGGGCTGCCCTGCTGTGGCGGGGCAGTCCACCAGGGTGACTCTGGAGACGAAGCACTCCCTCGCTGGCGGCGCTGTCCCCCGGGCCAGCGCGCTCCTCCCTCTTCTCCACTTCATTCACAAGGTCTCAGCACGCAGTCCCGCTCACTGGAGTCTCTCGCTCGGCCCCCGCACGCGGAGAGGAGGGCATAAGAGGGGACATTTTGCAGACGCCCTCTACACTCGAATAGCGTTTCCCCCCACACTCTCAGTGTTTCCCACCCTGGGGCTGGAGGAAGGGAACTGAGGCCCGGTCACGGGTCCCGCCCTCGTGGAGCCTGGAGTGGCGTCCCCAGCCCCCGTGGCGGGGAGGACGCCGCCGCCAGAGGGAGGCGTGACCTGGGATTGCCCAGCCGCTGGAGGAGGCGTGAGGGGGCGGGGAAGAGGCATTGCAGTGGAAGGAAGAGGAAGGGAGAAGAGGGCGCGCAGAGACCCAGAGCTGCAGGAAGGGGAAAGCGGAGGAAAGCCTTCGCGGGCGTAGTAAAGACAGCAGTCGGCTTTGTAATAAAGATAAGGAACACGCCGGACGCATGCGCACGGCCGAGGGAGGCGAGTCTCCGGGTGCTTCCCCTCCAACAACTCTGGTGGACGGTGGGATCGTGAGTACCCGGCTTCCTTCACCGTTTCCTTTTTCCTCTCACACTCGCCCGGAGGCCTGGGGCTGGGAAGTGGCAGAGGCCGGGCGGGGCGCGCACGCTCGGCGGGACCTGGGGCTCTTGCCGCGGCGGCGCGGGAGCTCGTGGGGATCGGTCAACACTTCCCTGGGTCCAGCCTCCTTCATTAGCCGGTGCCTGTGGCGGGGGTGGGGGGGGACTGGCTGAGGACGTGTCGCTGTCTAAATGGGGTTCACAGGCCACCACTATCAAAATTTTTTCTATCCGATCCTTCGGAGCGTCGCGCGGTTCCATCTCTGTGGCCCCGGCTCTGTGACTGGGTGGGGGACGCGGGAGTCTGGCTCTTAAAGTCTAAAATGCATATTGACCATCCCAAGCACATTTGAGAAACTCCGGACCAGAGGAGAGGTCGGCATTCCGACTGGATGGGAGACGGCCGTGGAAGGGGCCGGGCGCCCGAGGCAGGCAATTCGAGCGCAGGTGGGAAGGGAAAGGAGACACTCCCAGAATCTCAGTACCTTTCTTCGGAGAAATGCAACATAGACAGCGGCGGGGAGCAGGGCCGGAAAGTGGGGGTCCGGCACCAGCACCCTGGAGGGGCCGGCTTGGTATCGGCTTTTACCCGGAGACGCTATTCACGCCCTTGAAAACTTAAGGGGCAGAAGTGTCGTTTAAGGTGCGGGCGCCGCGGGGAATTTCTTTAAACAAACCCAGGTGGTTGATCTTCCGTACTCAGAGCTGCTCTAGCTAAGTTGGAACGAGTCTGGGCACCCCGGCTGCGGCGCGGCGACGGGAGGTGGGAAGGTGGAGAGGCTGGCTGCTACGCGGGAAGGGGAGGTGGGCGGTGCAGAGGAGGGTCTGTGGCACAGCTGCCTTCCAGCGTGGGGGACGGGGGTGGAACTGGAGCCTTAGGAAAGGGGGTCACAATGTGGGATGGCCCTTTTGGGGATCTATGCGCGCAGTGATTTCCCCACCCACTCCTACCCGGGAATGGGTAAGGGAGGGACCTTGGGAGAGGCGGCGCGCGGAGGTAGGAGTGGGCGTTTTAGGGAAGAGGGTTTTGTGCTCTAAGACTTTCCGCCAGGGGGAGGAGTAGGCGAGAGAAGGTGGGCGTTGGGAAGGGGTTGTCCACGTTCTTTGCAACCTACCCACCTCACTTGCGCATTTAGAAAGGGCCTTGGGAGAAGAGGCGCGCTGGCACTGGGATAGGTCGTGAGCTTCCCGGATTCGCCAGCATCCAAGGAAAGCCCAGGCGGTGGTCAGGGCCAGCAAGCGACACCAGCTGCAGGCAGGACGTGGCTGTGAAGAGTGTCTGGGGCCAGGCTAGGGGGATCCCGGAGGAAGCATCTGCTGCCCTCGCAGAGGACAGCATAGAGAAGTGAATGTAGTAGTACAGGATTTCTGTCCTTAAGGAGGAGAAAGCTAGAGGGAAAAAAAAAATCTCTTTCCTGTTCAGAATGTGGCACAGGCCAATCACTCCACGTGAATTCTCCATGCCATACCATCCTAGACGTTCGGCTGGGGTTCATGAGTTCTGGTAACTGCAGTCAGTGCCCTCAGTGCTGGAGCGACCCTCTAGACCAATGGCTAGCAAAAGCAGTCCATTGTTTACCAGGTGCTCTGAATCGCCTTGGCAAAGTGTGGGGAGCTGGAAGCTCCAGCATCAATCACCATCAATCACCAGTCACCCTCCTTGGTCAGTGCCCATCCTCCTGGGCACAGGTGGCAGGGCCCTGGCTTGGCTTCATTTTACTTTTGGTGGTTCCAGACCATGGAGTTAACCAAAAAACGTCCAAGTTAACCCAGGAGTCTGACTTCCTTCCCAGACTTGGCAGGGACATTTGTAACGGAATGACTCAGTCTGTAAGTTGTTTGACACAATCATAATTTGCAGTTTACTAGTTTTTTATTGTACTTAATTTTTTTTTGCACAAAATCTAAATTTCTATTGGGTCCCATCTTGTTTATCTTCTATTTATGAAGCAGTATCTTTTGTATTGGGTATCAGTAGCACATATAACAGGAAATATTGCCTAATAGGTAATATTGCCTGGAATTTATAAACCACGGCTAAAATCTCAACCTAGATTTGTGACCTTAGACACACATCTAGACACAACTTCTCTGTGCTTGATTTTATCATCTGTAAAATGTGGATAAGTAAAAATTCTATCTCATGGGGTAATTGCTTCACTCAGTTGAGCTCTTATAACTGTCTGGCACATACCAAGTGGAATTTCTTATTACAATTATATTGGTGCTAAATGGGCTAAGTGGACTTCAAACATAAAAATATCAGAAGAAAAATTCATTTTTTGTATGCTGTAAAGAGTACACAATAATACAGGCATCTATCATTAAAATCAGGAAAACAGTAAATGTATGATATCAATATCTCAATCTGAATATAATGCAGTTTCATAACATCTGGATCCTTTAATTTCAAATAATTATGAGGTATTTACATTCAAGTTTCAAACAGCATTCTAAGAAAATTCTTTCTAACCTTCAAAAGAGTTCACTTTGTAAGACATACATTTTTAAAAAACACATCATCAGGATATTTACAGAAAATCCAGTATCTTCATTGAATTACTTCAATGAGTTTATTTTATTTAAAAATAAAAAACTTCATTGAGTTTATTTTATTTTAATATTTTGGTACCAGGGATTGAACCCAGGGACACTTAACCACTGAGCCACAGCCCTTTTTCTTTTTTATTTGGAGACAGAGTCTTGCTAAGTTGCTTAGGGCCTTGCTAAGTTGCTGGAGCTGGCCTTGAACTTATGATCCTCAAGTTACTGAGTCCATTTTATTTAAGAGATTCTAGAAACTTACTTAGAAATTAGAAGGGCTGGGCTAGGGATGTGGCTCAAGCGGTAGCACGCTTGCCTGGCATGCGTGCGGCCCGGGTTCGATCCTCAGCCCCACATACAAACAGAGATGTTGTGTCTGCCGAAAACTAAAAAAATAAATAAATATTAAAAAATTCTCTCTTTCTCTCTCTCTCTCTCTCACTCTCTCTTTTAAAAAAATTAAAAAAAAAAAAAAGAAATTAGAAGGGCTAACTTCTCTGAGATCACTGTAAACATTCTACCCACAATATTCATATCAAAAATTTAGAATGATGACATCAAATTACTTTTTTTCCCTACCTCTTTTATTGTACAGATGAGGAAACATCCAGAAAGGTTATAAGGCTATTTAGGTGCCAAAACAGAATTAGAATTATATCCAACTCCCTTCCCAGGGCTCTTATACACCACAGTGATGATTTCTTGTATATCACAGATTCGTGAAACTATCACAAATAGGAAACCTGAAAGTTTACCTAAGGAAAACAATGTGCAAGCATGTGTTACCTCCAACACCATGAAAGACCACCAGTGATGGCATGGTTACTGTTGTCCCAGGGCTTTGTCAGGGTGGTTCCTATTGTAAGACCACATGACTTCCCTCCAGTAAGCTAAAACATCATTGATCAAGCTAGAGGTGGAGCCAGCTTTATATTTTAAGGCTCCACTAGGGTATACATTCAGGGGCATATTCTTTTCGTCCCTTGAAGCAGTTTTATTTTGAAAATCATTTTTGAATTTTTCTCAAATTCTTAAAATCTCCTTTCTGACAGCTTTGAAGATATTTTCTCTCTACTTTTTAGGAGAAGATGTCAAAATTATTCAAAGAGATTTTATTCTTCCAGATTTTGTGGACTAGAAAGAGAAAATGAGGGGAAATTTTTTTGTTTTGTTTTGTCGTTTGTTTGTTTAATGGTAATGGGGATTGGACCTAGGAGTGCTTAATCACTGAGCCACATCCCTAGCCCTTTTTTTTAATTTTATTTTTTATTTTGAGACAGGTTCTCACTAAGTTGCTTAGGGCCTTGCTCAGTTGCTGAGGCTGGCTTTGAACTTGGGATCCTCCTGCCTCAGCCTCCTAAGTTGCTGGGACTACAGGTATCTGTTGCTGTCCCCTGCAGAGCTGTCTTGTTTTAATGCAATAGCCCAGTTAGTGGTTTTAGTTCAGGTACCTGAATATAAATTTCTAAAGTCCCATTGTTCATTCATTTCTGCCTGGAACAGTCTAATGACATCCACCTTCCATGTACTATGTAGACGGTGATTTAAAGGTTTAGCTCTTGCATAACTAGTTTAGGGATTCTATGGCAGAATCTTTCAGGTGAGCAGCTTGTCTTATATTATATTAGGAATAGTTCATTTTCCAGGGAAGGTACTTCTAGGAATGGTGCTTATGTCCTTGAAGAAGGAAACCATAGTTCTCTCCAATGTGTGAACTGAATATCTTACCCTTGACTTTATGTCTCAGTATAACTACCACATGTTCTTCTTAGACAGAAATGCAGCGCATTAAGCAGGGAGTGACTTTCTAGCATGCTCCCAAGCCAGTTCAGCAGAACTGGGTTTTGAAATCACATGTGTCAGTCAGGTCCCAATATGATTATAATATGAATCACTGTCCAAATGGGAATATTTCAGATTGGTTTTCAGTGCACCACCAGGTGACTCACAATGTGAGCTTCTATTCAAATAAGTAGAGTGTCAGTCAGCAACTAATAGGGTTCACTCTGAGTCACAGCTTAGCATTCAGTACAATAAGTGTGAGTGAGTCACTGACTACCACAAGCACCATCTGAGATGGTCCCTGAATGCTACCTTGAGCTGCTAGGAGCTTAAGAGTTTGGATGATGCTGCGGGGCGTGAGTCAGTTCATAGTACAATCTGATGGGCTCTTGTAAAGGCCATTCACAATAAAGTTTGATGCAACTGAGTGCTGAAGATATTATTACATTATTAGGAATTCAGAGAATAGATTACCTTGATTCTAATATGGCTATTTGCATGGGGGAATCATTTGTAAAAAAATGAATACTATGCTCAATTGCCCAGCAGTTATATTTCACATGAATTATTTCCAGAGTTATTAAATCCAGTTGACCTTTATGGTTTCTAGTTATTAGTTTCACTCT